ACACACTAACATACAAACAAATACACACACACACACACACACGAGGACGACAAAAGACCGGTGTTGTCGCGTTTGGCTGAATTCCCTCAGCAGGATTCATCCGTGTAATCGCCATGGAGCCGCGACGGATCAATTCAATTTGGCCGCCTTCGTCTGCATGCGCTCGCCAGTGTATGTGTACGTGTGCGAGTGTACGTAGATGAGCGTATGTGTGTGGGTGCATGATTGTGTGAGTGTAGATGTACGATGTGTAGGGTGCTGGTAATCGTGGGAAAGCGTACACTGAGGCCATGCATGCATCCGACTAAACTGATGTCGTCCCTCGGAACGTGGGGTAAAGCAGATTTTTCTCAAGCAAACTATATCATCTTCACGCATAACAGTGACGAGGGTGCTAAAGTTTTGCCGACCATAACCGAAGCGAAAAGCATCCGGCCGACTCATTCGTGCGCCACCCGTCCCCTCTGACCAGCCCATTGGTCGACTCGTGCTCTCGCCTGTTGGTTGGCCGGCTTTGTGACCCTGATCCTCGGCCCCCAGCACACCGGGGGGCTGGCGGCTGGTCGGCCGGTTGGTGTGAACTTCGTCTGACCCGCCTGACTCGGCCGGACCAACAGAGCCGAGGCAGGGTTCGAGCCAGCCTCCCCAGTGACCCCAAGGGTGCATGTGTGAACGACCGGGACGGGACGGGCCGGCCCGGCCTGGAGCCGTCCCCACGAGGTACCAACCTCTTGCCACGAAAATGGCGGCCAAGCCAGCGCCTGAACGGGCGCTACGGCAACCGAACAAGCCTGGCTGAATGGCGTGAGACTCACTCTGCAGTTCACCCGGCGACAAGGCGACACCCGCGGTGAACGGTCGTGGCGCCTGCAGCAAAGTGTACGTGATCGAGTCGGCGCCAGCCAGAAGACCCACCTCTCCCGTCGCTCCGGCGGCCAAATCTTCCTCTTCCCTGAGCTGTACCGGTCCACTCGAGAGCGACTCGATGAGGTAATTGCCACCGTTGCCGCCGGAGATGACTGGCGCGGCAGAAGAGCCGGTGTCGCCCGCCGGCAACTGGTAGACGTCCGGCTGAGCGCGATAGTCTGCAAGCCCTACAGCCAGTGGCCGGGGCGACCGATGCAACGGTTCTGCTGAGCTGCAGGCAGTCGTGAGGCTGGGGTCGTTGGGAGGGGGTACCGAGGCAGAGGAGACGACCAGGGGGGGCGTGGTGGCGGTCATGGAGCCCATCGCCTCGGCCCCGGGGCCGGAGCAGGTCAGCTCTTCCTGCTTGGGCGTGGATGCCGAGGTGGGCTGTCCGAATCGAGGCGCGAGAGTCGAGATGGGCACCTCCTCCTTTGCCATGGATACAGCGTGGAGACCGCTGCCACGAACTGAAGGAGTCAGGGCGATCCGCAAGCAGGCGCTCTTGACTCCGACGGACGGCTCTGCGACAACCTCTTCAGGCCTGCCATTCGAGGCGTCAGTCAGGCCAGAGTGGCCATTAACGAGCGGTTCTGATTTCACGGAGCAATTGAGCCTCTGAAATGACGTCGCTGAAGTGTCCGAGAAGATGACATCCTCTGAGAGAGGCCTAAACTCGTCGGTCGTTGGACCAGGGCTGGAACAACAGGCGGCAGTAACATCTTCCAAAGCCACGCAAGTGGAGGCGGAGGAAAAGGCTGACAAGGAGGATGAGAAAGAGCAGGAAGAAGAAGAGGAGGAGGAGGAAAAGGCTGAGGAGGATGAGGAGGAGGCGGTGGAGGCGGTCGCTGCCACTGCAAAAGAGGGCTCGGCAGCGTTGGCGGCGGACAGTGGGTTGCCGGTGGTGACGCTACAGGGGCCGGGGGCGGAAGCAACGTGGAGACGATCCCGCAAACCAGCTATCTCTGGCCTCTTTAGGTTTCCGCCATCCATCTCGTCTTTGAGCTTGAAATCGCCAACCTCAGCGATTCCTTCACTCGGCCAGTGGGTTTCGGGCGTGCTTTTGCACTTCTGACTTTGTCGGCAGCCCGCCATCTGCGTGGTAGGGTCATACTCCTGAACAAGGGTAGGATCTTTGTTCTCCATGCTGAGGCCGGAAGGGGTGAAGGTCTGAGCCTGGTTGCAGAAAAATTAAGGTCATGAGTATGCGGAAGTGAAGGAGGCAACTCGATCTGCTGTGCGACAGAGAAACTTTGAGTAACATAGCCAGTCCTGCGTTGTCTGCTTTTGAAGAGACATGATAATTTCCAGCATCTGAACGTTGGCTTGGTACATTCACATGTCAGCCAAACGTCTATTCGAAAGCAGATAACGCAGGGCTGGATATGTTCATCAAGGTATCCCTGTTGCTCGGACCGAGTTTGGAAAACAGAGTCAAATCGACATTAG